ATTCTATGTAGAGACTTATAATATTATCTTACTAAGCTTTTCTGCTATTTTCTCTTAACTGTATTCTATAGACTTAATAAGTCTTACTATAAGATTATTATGAGAATCTCCCTCTAAGCTTAAGTTATTAAAGTCTAAGACGTAGTTTAGAGCATAGCATCCTTTAATTGTCTTCTTTAGGATATTAAATATATATTTTATAGGATATCTATAATTAGAGAGTATATTCTTAAAGTATAGTCTGTTAGATATATAACTTTAAATATCTTAGTTTTTATTACTATCTAGAATAGATTTAAAGACCTTATAGATAAATATCTTATTATACTTAGCTAAGATTCTATATCTAATATTTATAGCTTATTTTAGGAAACTTAATATTATTTCTCTAGGTTTTCGCTTAAAAGATATTATAGTTTAGATAACTATAGTATATTTTTAGGTATTATCTTCTTTAGTAAATCTTTATATAAAGAGTTAGCTAAGCTTACTCTAATTCTTATAGTTATCTTTCTCTTAGGTTTTAAGCTACTCTTATACTTCTCTATAGAGGTATATATAAAAGATTATTAGGTATTAGTAATCGACCTTATTATTAGAATTAAGGTTTATTTAGTTGACTAAAGCCTCAATATAATTAAGGAATTCTTTAGCTATAAAGGCTTAACTATATCCTAAGAAAGTAAAGCCTTATAGCCTACCTATCTGGAAAAGGTTTATCCTAATTAGTCTAAGTTAGAAAGTAGATCTTAGTTATATCTTTAGAGATATCTAGAGTATTAAAGATAGGGATAGAAGCTCTAATAAGAATAGAGATATAGCAGTAGAGGAAGGATCTAAGTTAATAATAAGTAGAGGAGTTCTTAGTAGTTCTAGGAATATAAAGTCTTTTAATATAGATAGAAAATTCTTTTAGTTAGTTAGTATAGTTAATAGTAGTATTTAGGAAGAAAAGGATAAAGGTTAAATCAGTCTGTCTACTAACTAGAGCTATCTTATAATCAGCTGCTAACTTCTTTAGATCTTCTAGAGTGATATTAAATATAGTTTTATCTATTAGGGTTATCTACTATTAACTTCCTCTAGGCTTAATACCTAGCAGCTAAAAGATAACTTTAGTAAATAAAGAGTAGTAGGTTAAGAGAAAATAGAGAAAGTTAGTAAGGTCTTATCTAAATATATATTAAAGGGAATAAGAAAGATTAATAGGTTGAAGTAATTAATTAATATTAGTAACCTCTTAGTTATAAAGCTTAGATTCTAATATAAGGTTAAAAGAGGGGAGTTTATAAGCTATACTTATCCCCTAGCTAAAATACTTTCTGCCTAGCTATATCTATCCTTTCCTTTCTACTACTACTCTTTCTACTCTAAGTTAAGTAGGCTACTAAAGTATTATATATAACTAGCTTCTAAACTAAAAGGGTAACCTCTCCCTTCCTAAAATATTACTACTACTACTATTATAGTAGGTAGTTATAAATCTTCCCTTCCCCTTAAGGAAATCTTCCTTCTCTCTTAGGTATCTTTCTAGATATTTCTCTATCTATCCCTTCTCTATCCTTAAGTAATCCTTTTTAGGTTTATATTTAAGCTATCTTATAGGAGCATCCTTTCTAGATTTCTACCTTATATTCCTTATAGAAGGGGCTTATTTACTATATTATATCTTAGGATATATATTCCTCTCTTAAAGTCTTTCTTAGGTCTTCTTCCTATACTCTGCTGTAAGAAGTGCTATTCCTACTATCTCTAGGTAGGCTGTCTATACCTAAATAGAAATCTTTAAATCCTTCTCTCTCGTTATTATTTCGTTATTATAAAATCTTCTTTACTCCTCTAATAGGTTTTTATTTACATAATATACTTAAGGTAGGTAGTCTCTTAGATATAAGTTATCTTAAGGACTTAGTAGTTTTTAGGGGTCTTTATAGGGACTTAGAGGTTTTTAGAGCAAAAAACCCCTCAAGCGTAACTTTTGTGGATATTATGCCTCAAAGTTCCTTAATAGCAAATTCTAAGCTATTTTCTTTTAAGTTATATTATTATATTAATTACCTTAATATAAATATTAGCNATTTTCTTTTAAGTTATATTATTATATTAATTACCTTAATATAAATATTAGCTACTTTTATTACTAAATAGAATATTTCTAATTATTTGCTATTATTATCTATCCTTATACTTTAGTATATATAGTTTAGGTTTCACTAGGTATTATTTAGGGATATATGTTTTTTTCTACCTTACTGCTACCTATTTAACTTATATAATTTCTCTTATTACCTTTAGGTATATTAAACTTATATATCTATATTATAGTTTAGATAATATAGTTACTTTTTTAGGTTTAGCTTATTATATCGCCTCTATTCCTTTTAGTTACTCTAGATCTTCTGCTTCTTCTCTTACTGCTTACGCTAAATACTTATATCAGTTTTCTAATTATATATTTTTGCTTATTCTATATTAGTGCTCTATATATATTTATTTCTTTTAGTCCTACTTTTATCTAGCTTATTATTATAGCTATAGTTATATTTATATTCTTCTTTCCTTATAACTACTACTCTGCTGTTACTACTCTTAAGTTACTCTTACTTATCTTATATTTACTCTTTAGCAGGGTAATATAGCTAGTTGCTCTTATATTAGTTCTATTTGCTCTACTTACTCCTTATTCCTTCTTACTAGCTTACTCTTACTTCCTAGTTTTAATTAGTTACTTAGGGATATTTAAGAGAGGTTAAGGTTTACTTTAGGATACTTTATATAAAAAATTTATAGCTGCTTTATCCTACTACTTTCCTATCTAGCTAGGCGCTCTTTATGTAGCTTTTGTAGTTAGTTTATAGTTTATTTATTATAAAATAAAATTATATAGTTATTAGAGGGAGAAATAATTTTGCTTGTAGTCTAGTTAGTATTAATTAAAGCTATCCTTATTATACTTTCTTTACTAAGTAATCTTCTGCTATAGTGTGAAATTATTAGTATAGTTTGGGAGGAGAAATATTTATCGTATTAAGGCTTAATTTATGGTCTTCTTAGAAGTGATATTAGAAATCTTCAGTTAGGAATTATGTCACTATAATTGCCTTTTTATGCGTAGAAAATTCAGCTTATTATGTATGTGTTTATTTAGAGGAGAAAATTATTATGTATAGAGAGAAATGAATTGATTTAAAACAGAAGATAAATAATTGTAGGATTGTTAAGTTAACGTTAACGAAAAATCCGCCTCTAGGTACTATTATTAAGTGGTGATAATTGTGCTTGATTAATCTAAGTTCTAACTGCGCCCTGTGGTGTGCCTCTAAAGCCTTCTGGCTGATTAGCTAATTAGTGGCTGGTGGTGGTGGTGGTAGTGCTGTCTCCACACACCCCACCAACATCAACACCCAAAAATTAGACTCAGACACATACCCCACACCTCCATCCAGTGCCGTGTCCCGCCTAACCCAGAGAGCTCACCCCCGTCTTCGTAAACGTCTCCATATCCATCAAACCAAACCAACTCATTCACACACGCAACCCGTAACCCCCAACATCCCGAGTACTGCGTGTATACGGGCAACCTCAATCTCCCAAACGGCAAACTCACGCGCCGCGTACCATTGACGCATCCACCCATCCCACCAACAGCAATGTCCGGCGCCCTCCTCCCCCTCCGCGCTCGCCATGCCCTCATCACCGGCGCATACGGCGGCATCGGCGCCGCGATCGCCGCCCGCTTCGCCGCCGAGGGCGCCCTTGTGACCCTGCTCGGCCGCAAGGAAGACAGGCTGCGCGAGCTCTGCTCCCAGCTCCCACCCTTCCGGGACACCCGGCTCGCCCCCCTCACTGCCGCATCCAACACCAACACCCGTCCATCTCTGGACGAGAAGCCCCCGACGCACTCGTACGCCGTCATGGATGTATCCGCCCATGGCCGCGATGAAGCCGTCCTGGACGACATCTGGGTTCGACCTCCCCCTCTCTTTCTCATTTTTCTCCTTTCAATGCATCATGGCAGAAGCCATATATGTCACTTGCTTCACTAGCTAGCTAGACAGCCTCATTCACGTGTCGTCATTCACTAACAGAGGAAACTGGGTCGCCCACAGAAACGGACGGGCCAGATAGACGTCCTTGTCAACGCCGCGGGTATTGCGCAATTCCAGCTGTTACAGAACACCTCTCCCCAAGCCGCCAGCGAGCTCGTTGACACCAACCTCATGGGAACCATCTTCATGTCGAGGTACATGGCCCAGCGCATGAAGCGCAGGCGCGCAGACAGGGATGGTAAGTCATGGCATACTTGCCACATAATCGATCCGATCGCACCCGCACAGAGGGTGCCTTTGCAAAGCACTGAGCAACCCAGCTGACTTGCTCCTGAGCCTTTTAGCATGCATTATCAATGTTGCGAGCTTGCTCGCCGAAAAGGGCAGTCCCGGCACCAGCGTGTACGCAGCGTCGAAAGCTGGCATTATTGGTATGTTTTATTTTTCTCCTTGGCTTCGTTCCTCATCGCACGTCTCCGAGAGGTCTATCTGTTGCCTCCTCGCCCCGTTTGTCGTGGACCAAATCTAATCTGTCGAAAGGTCTCACCCACGCTCTCTCCGTTGAGCTGGGGCCACTGCGAATCAGGACCAACGCCATAGTTCCCGGCTACATAGAAACCAATATGCTTGCCTGTAAGGAACATGTCCTCGCCCTATTTCTTATCCGCAAGCTAGGCTTCCGAGACCCCAGTAAGCCAATGTTCCTGATCAGAACGGTGCTAATATACAAATTACAGCAATGTCGAGAGAACCCCTCGAAAAGCGAATCCCACTTGGGCGGCTGGGTAGACCTGATGAGGTAGCAGACGCCGCCGTCTTCCTGGCCCAAAACACCTACGCCAATAACTGCATCCTCAACCTGGATGGTGGGCTAAGTGCAGTCTGACGAGCTAGAGCTCCCTAGGTTGTGGAGGGACACCCCTGGCTTCAAATCAACAGACCCTTGCAATCTCAGTCGTCAATGACGATGGCTCCACCCGTAGAATCATCTACGAGGACCACATCATCACTGCTGCTAGTCGTTGCGACCTTGGCTTTCTTAGCCTCGATCGGTTCATCTCCATCGTCGGGTCGCGGCCGCTTGAGGTTTGGCGATTCGTCCGAGACATCCAGCGAGTGCTTGCCGTTCTGCTGGCTTGTACCATTGGACTCTGCCGCCGCCGGCGCAGGTGTCTCCTTCTTTGGCTTACGAGGGATCTCAGGTTTTTGATCCGCGGTCATGCCCTTGACGGGCTTATCCTCGAGAGGCTCCTTGCTGCAAGGGGTTAGCTAAGATTCAAGGCAGAAGTGTTTGGGAGACGCACGATTCTTGTATGCTGATGACAACGTTGACGAAGGGCTCATCGTCATCCTCATCAATGACAGTAAGAAAGGTGTCTTCCGTGATTCCAAGCTCGCTGAGCTTCTTGGACAGGTTTTCGGTCTCATCAGGATCGTAAAGGGGGCCAGCATCGTTGTTCAAGGCGAACTCCTTGTCGCCGTATCCAAGCTCCAGGCGCACAAAGTCTTCAACGAGGTCCTTCAATGTGGCTCTAGACATGTCGACGGAGACAGTCGTCTGGTAAACGCTGCAGACTGGGCATTGCGGGTTAGGGGCCCGGTACTTGGTCGCATTGAGCAGACGAGCAGGGTTGTGAGGGGAGATGAACACCTGTACAGACATTAGACCACAACTCCAATCACCGCCGGAGAAGACAAAACTTTACCTCCTTAGTATTAGTGTATTCACCCTTCAGGACTTTAAACGACTGAAGGACACACAGGCCAGCAACGATGGCATTAGTCGTGGCAATCGCCGGGATGATATTGCCCGCCATTTGCTTGATGTCGAAACGAGACTTGCGCTCGATGCCGAAAATGGAAGAGCGGATGTTGGCACTTGCTGTCACAAAATCCAAGGTGTCCTCGTCATCCTTGTCAAAGGTGATCAGAGGTTCGGCTCCTCCGTTTTGGTGCGCCTTCTTCAGCTCTTGCATACGCTTGCTAAGACGATCCAAGCTGTCGACGAAGACGGCAAAGTTCTCCTCCAAGCTCCACACCTTCTGGCCTTCCTGCAGGATCGTCGCCTTCGCACCCGAGGCTTCAGTAGATTGCTCCAACAACTTCTTGTAGTCAAGCGGCTCAGGCTTTCTCCTCGACTTCCACATGTCCTCCATCGATGCCAGTCGCACAATGTCGCTATTGTAGACCTTGTCGAAGAGAAGTTGAGGGAAGGCCTCAGTACCCAAAGCGTCGCGAATGGCGCGCAGGGCAGCGGCCTCCTTCTTCAGCTCCTCAATTTCCTTGGCGTTGTCGGCATCGGCTGAGTTGTCGAATGCGGACTCGTCCTCGCTGGCGCCAAAGATCTCGCTGAGAAGATAGCTCTTGCCCCACACGATGCAGTGGATGGGCTGGCTTGGCGTGCTTCGAATCGTGCAGACGGGGAAGGACTTTGGCGTCTCCTTTGGGGTGCAATCGTAGCATGCCGTAACACCCTTCTTGATGACCTGGACATTGCCGTTGAATCCTGTGGTACCACTCTCAATCAGGGGCACATCCGCCGCCAAGCACATCCTGTTCACGTGCCGTCTGGCCTCGAGATTGTCGAGCGCATTGAAGACGATATTGAAGTCTTTGAACCATCGGGTGTTGAACTGCGAGTCTTTGATGTTCGCATGGTGCGCGACGATCTTGACCTTGGGGTTGAAGGCCTGCGCAGCATCTTTGGCAACCTATCGACCTGTCAGCACTGCGACACACCTGAGACTTGGGTGCTACGCCAGGAAACCTACCAAAGCCTTGGACTTCTTGATGTGCTCGTGTCTGAAGAGGAATTGACGGTTGAGATTGCTCAAGTCGATGGTGTCCAGGTCGACAACGTGGATCTCGCCGTAACCGGTGAGCACGAGGTTCTTGAGGAGTTCGCATCCGATGCCACCAGCTCCGACCATCAACACGCGCGCCTGCGTAGCCATGATTAGCTCAATTGTCACTTCAATTGCATCCGACAGCACTTTTGCATGATTCGGCAAGTTTATGGGACAAAACTGGAAGTCGTGGGATGGGCGTTGTGATGGAAGGAAGGATCGCGTGGTCTGATGCGCCGGGGCCGCGACGTACCTTCTTGACGTTTGCGTTGAGCGAGCCGCCGAGCGACTGCTGGTAGAACTTATCACGCCGGGGAACGGCAATCGGTTTCTGAACTGTTTGCGCGGGAGGCCGCGCTACAGGTGCGGCGGCGGGCTGCTGTTGCTGTTGTGCGGGCTGCTGCTGCTCTTGAGGTTGTGGTGCGGTGGTCGTCTCTGTCGCTGTCGCCGTTGCCGTGGCCGTCGCGAGGGGCGCGGTCGGTTCCGCGGTCGTTGCCGCAGGTGCAGCTGCTGCGTCTGCTGCAGTGTTGGAATCCATCGTTTCCGCGCGATGGTGCTGGTCGTTTTTCGGTCGGGAAAGAGTTAATGGAGATGATGAAGAAAAGGACGAGATCGGAGGTGCGGTAGCAAGCGCGAAGGTGGGTGTAAGCTTGCAGCCGCGCTAGGTGGGATGGGATGAGGGCGGTTTCAGTGCGAAGCAAGGCTGCACAGAGGAAGGCAGGTTGAGGTTTTCCCAGAGGTCAGCGGGAGGAACGATCGCCCAGATCAAGGTTCCAGCCAATACCGGCAGCCGGTGACGAGATCGTGCAGGGATTCGAGCTGTAGCTTCCTTGGGGAATTACCGCGCTCGTGCTGCGATTGGTCTGGATGAGTACATTAAGCGGATCCCTCCCGCGTCGTCGCTTGCACTCTGAGGTGAGCTCACTGACGAGCGCTGTAACCTCAGCGGCTTGGTGCATCCTCTGTCCACTGTGAAACGCTGGACTGCTGCCTCCAGGGCTGCCCTGACACGGCACCTTGCCTTACCTAGGTGCCCACCACCGATCGTTCGTCAGGCCTCCACCGGTTCCTGGCAGTGCCTTTGGAAGCTGATGTACAGCCCCTTTCACATGGCAATCAGCCGATTGCGCGGGTTTCCCATTCTGCGCAGCGAATATACGGTGTTGGAAAATAACTGGACGATGGGATTGTACGAGACCCCTCCAAGGCCCTCACTCCTAGGATGATCGCCGCCTGCAATAGAGCGGTGATCCAACAAAAAACAAACGGGTCAGTGCAGCTGTATGGGGCGTGGGCTTTCTGCCTCTACCGCCTAGGCCAAAGTTCAAACCTGCGTCGTCCCCTCAGTGAAAGAATTGCAGAGTCGTCGCCCAGAATCAGGATCACCCAGGTGCAGCATCCACGGCGGCCGTATTCGTGCAGCATACGAAAAAGGCAAGTCGCATTTGGGTCAAAGGAGAAGCTGCATCTGCAAGAGGCACCAGCCACGCCGGGACAAGCCAGGGGCAGAAACATCGCAGCCATGTCCGACGACGAGGCCGACCCCGAGCTTTTGGCTCTCCTCCGCCAGCACTTTCAGAAGAAGCTCAACGTCGACGATGAGCCTGAGACGGGCGTCCTCGAGGGAGCCGAGTACGTCTACGACAACTCCATCGACGTCTGTATTGACATGAGGGCGACCAAGCGTGCTGCTGCCACAATCTACGCCCAGATGGACCAGAAGCAGTACTCGACGTCCACCTGGGCCGAGCACGAGCTGCATCCCAAGACCAAGGATGACAGCACCGCTGCCTTCATCTTCACCATGGACCTGCTCAACTTCTGCTTCTGGTCCGAGAAGCCAGAGGATGAGCGGTTCGCCGTCGAGTACCGTGGCAAGACTTGGACTGGCTACTGGAGCATGGTCGCTTCGCTGCAGAGAGCTCTCGATGAGGGCATCCCCATCACGAGCTCTGACTTTTGGCAGAGCGAGGACGAGTGCAACATGGAGCTCATGAGGCACGTGTTCAGGTCCAAGACGGAGGAGGAGATGCCTCTGCTCGAGGAGCGCCTGAATTGCCTCCGTGAGGCTGGCACCGTCTTGTATGAGAGGTACAACTGCAGCGTCACAAAACTCATCGAGGCCGCCAACGGCTCTGCGGCAAGGCTCGTCAACCTTCTCGCCCGCGATTTCGACTGCTTCCGTGATGAGCACGTCTTTGAGGGCCGCCGGAAGCCGGTGCGATTCCTCAAGAGGGCTCAGATTCTCGTAGCGGATATCTGGGCCTGCTTTGGCGGTGAAGGCATTGGCGCCTTCCGGGACATTGACAAGATCACCATGTTTGCCGACTACCGCGTCCCGCAAATCCTCAACACCATGGGCTGCCTATACTATAGCCCCTCGCTGGCGACGGCTATCAACTCCAAGCGGGTTTTGGAGAGTGGTGCGAGATGGGAGCTGCAAATGAGAGGTGAGTTGAAATACGCTACTAGCCCGAGGGCTCAGATGCTAACTCTGGAATAGCATGCAGTATCTGGTGTGTCGAGTTGATCAAGCGGGAGATCCAGAAGGACCATCCCGGTACGAGTGTCAACGCCATTTTGATTGATTTCTTTTTGTATGATACCATGAAAGAGTTGGAGGCTGCCGGCACCGAGACGGTGAACCATCACAGGACGAGGAGCATTTGGTACTGAGCTGCTTCAGACCATACGGAGAAGACTTCTTATGCACCTTCAGTGGAGGTTTAATTACGGATGTTGACTTTCGTGCCGAGCACATTTTCTTTGACTATTCTACAGCAAATTCTCATTCCCATGCCTCGTATACTCGTGATGCGAGACGGTTCTCAAGCCAGTTCAACTCCAAACGCCAGTAGCTTCGTAATAATATAATTGGTCATTCCTGACCTGGACACCCGTTTGCTCACAGAGATCCAACGGCAGTCGAGTTCATGAGCTCATCCATATGAGCTCGCTCAATGTTAGACGTACCCTTCTTCTCCTCCTTCAGCAGAACTGCGAGCACCTCGATAGGCGGGTTCAAGCCAAGCCTGTCGGCCCGCTCCCAACGCTTCATGCGCTGCAGACCAATACAGGGCTATACAATTGTCAGCGTTCCCGCTCCAACACACCAGCTCAAGACATGACTTACACCGTACTGCGAGCTGACATCGAAGTACCGCAGCACTTTCTCCGCCAAAGTTACGTCCTTTTGGTGAACCCGGGGCGCAATGCGCTCAGCCTCGATCGACTTCCAATACTTGTTGATCTGCGCATCGCTAATCTTCTCAGCGCGCAGGACAGCCTCCGACTTCTCGGGGACCTCTTCCTTGACTTCCTCTTCCTCCTTGGTCTCGGGCTCGTCAACCTGGATCTCATCGACCTGCGCAGCTTCCTCCTTCTTGGCCTGCTCGGCCCTCTCGACAGCGGAGCCGAGGACGGCCGCCTTCTTCAGATCCTTCGGGACCGGCTTCGAGACCTTGTGAGAGAAGCTGATAGTCGACTGACCCCGAGCCGGGCCGGGTCGGGCTCGGGCGCCGCCTGTTGATCTCCGAGTTGTGGGCATTGTGGATGTTGGTTGTCACTGGTGACCGGGGTAGTGAGTGGCTATCGAAGTCGTGTGGGCGCGGTAGGTTGGGTATTCGTCGCAATGATGCTCTTAATGTTGCAGAGACAGATATATGGTAAGTCTGATAGAGATCGCTTCAAGTAATGTCACCAATCGCAGTCGTCGCAATGCGCTCGTTGATCTCATCCGGATGTGAAAGTGAATGACGAAAGAGGGAAGGAGACAGGGGCCTAAATTTTGGCGGGGCAACGCGAGACTGGTACGAAGGCACGTGCGCGCCATGCCTTCTACGGTGCTCAAAGGCAATTGTCACTGTAATTGACACTGTCCTCTCTGTCTTCATTTCAGCATGTCTATTGTCTGTCTGTCTTTGCCATGTAACGCTATATATCGCAGAAACTGCATAGCTTGCCGGGGTATCTGAGATGCACACCAGCTTTTTTTATCGTCCCACTGCTCCTCTACGCTCCAGTGGCCTCTCTGTAAAACGAGATGCTCCTGTTTGCTCCGGCAGTGCAGAACATCTCACTCCTTCCGGTCTTGGGAAGCCACTTGACAGACCACAGTGCCTTATCCGTCTCGCTGTGCGTAGCTACGCAGGCATAGCGCTCGACTGACCAAACCTTGACCTTGCCGTCCATCGCTCCGCTCAGAAGGTATTCGCCGGTGTCGCTCCAGTCAATGGACGTGATCCACGAAGAATGGCCAGTCAGGTTACCGACTTGCTCGCCGTGCTTGAGATCGTAGATGGCAATGATGGAAGAGTCGCCGGCGGCGGCCAGTCTCGTGTTGCCTGGAGAGAATGCCACCGCGCGAACGGGCTTGGCCAATCCTGTTCAAGTGTCAGTGGGGAGGTCTCGAAGGAGAACGTATAGGTCCATACCAGGCAGAGAGGACGCAAGCCGACCGGTGTCATTGTTGAAGAGGTACACGGAACCGTTCTGGTGTCCGCTCGCAGTGAACTTTCCGTCTCTGCTCAAGTCGACCGACATGCCGAAGCTGCCCGAGCCAGGGCTTCCCGTCTCATACTCCCGGATCTTGGGCGTTCCCTCTTCGCCAATGTCCCACACGTTTATCCGGCCGTCGTATGTTGTGCCTGCTAGGAACTTGCCGTCTTCGCTGAGCGCGATGGCCCATGTCTCGCCGGCCTTGGAGTTCTGATCCGTGACGTCCGAGTGGAGCTTCCACTCACCCGTGTCCTTGTCGACGACCCAGACCTTCAGCTCGCCGGCAAAGCCCGCGCTGGCAGCTACACGGCCATCGCGCGAGGTGCAGATGTGATGACAGCCGAGCTTGTGGGCACCGCTGATGGACTGTGTGATGGGGATCGCAGGGTCGGCGGTGTTGTGGACGCGAAGGGTCGAAGAGCCGCTGGCCGAGAGAACGGCTCGGGGTGTAGCAGCGAGCCCGAAGATGTCGGTTACGTGGGCTGAGAGTGTGTAAGCTGGGTTACTTAACGAACAGGTGGAAGCTCTGAGGAGCTTCAAGCTCCACGGATGTCGTACCATTGTCCACAGTGTGTGTGGTCAGGTATTGTTTAGACTATATCAGTCAGCTCCAGTATGTCATATGTTTGGTCAGATTTCACCTACCATGGCTGCCAGTCCATGTGAAGCTTGTGCCGCTGTGGAGGGTACGCGGTTGCGTATGGGAAAGTTGCGACCGCGATGTGAACTGGAAGGTGGGGGCTGACATCACACATTTGCGAAGAAAGACCCCTGCAGCGGGCTTTTTGGCAGGGAGGGGCAATTGAGGGGCGCCACCAACAAACACCACGACCCATGCATGCTCAACCGCAACAACCTCATGTCCATTGAGTTACCACCCAAAGAATATTCTCTTCATTTTGCGTATTATCAAGAGATAACTTCCGAAAACCAGTTACCATTAAAATCATGCAAGTAGCAAACCATATTAACCATCCAGTCCTTCTCTTGTCACATACCTAAGCAGGTGGGGAGTTGACGAAGTATTGAAGGACTACTTCGACAATCTCGACAATTGCTCCAAAATCAGAACCTTTTAAGGCTACCGATAGTACTCAGCTAGCTTAACGTCCTCGACTAATATATATCAAGTCCTTGATGGAAACTCGACCCTGAGCGGTTGCATGCCTCTTCCAGAAGATCCTCCCATGGAAAGGGCAATTTATTGGCCAAGGCTAGCTCAGAGGGGTTTTTGCCCGGCTCCTGGCCATACTGGCGGGTTCTGGCTGCTACGTCGGCTCCTCTGTGCAGTAAAAGCTTGACAAGTGGTGTTCTCTTTCGAACGCAAACGCTCGCAAAGGCGCGAAACGGTGAATGCTGCGGCGGTGGCGTTGCACAAATATGGTGTAACGGAGTCCATCCATTGGCGTCAAGGCCATTGGCATTCGCCCCGAAATCGATTAGCAGTCTTGCAGTTGCTTCGTCGTAAGTGTTGCGCGACAGCTCATGTAGCGGCGTGAGGCCCTGCAGATCTCTCAGCATCGGGCTGGCGCCCCCCTTGAGCAGTTCCAGGACGATTTCGTATAGGCCGTCCTCATCATCGATCATGGAACATGCATAGGTCAGTGGAAGGTGCCCATCCAATCTTCTGTCGGATCTAAAGCCTTGGGGAATTGGTCCTAGCCAACAGCGAGCATTCGGGTCCGCGCCCTCTTGGACGATCAAGCGCACTGATTCTGGGTTTAGCCCTCGAACGGCCTTGATCACCGGAGGCACTTTCTTAGATGTCTCTGTGTCAAGGTGGGAAGAGAGGATGGGCAGTTTATGCTCGTGCAAAAAGTCGAAGACTTCCCGGATTCTGTAGCCAGCGTATGGGATCTCGTCACAGTCAAGTCTGGATTCCGGGTCGGCTGGGTTCAGGGAGTTAAAGCTTGGGATGCAATGGCAGTTGTCGTGCCTATGATGCTTTGAAAGAAGAACGCGGGCCTTCGTATGGCACTCGAAAAGGGGAAGTTGAACGGGTACCTTCCAGTTGAGCCGTGGAACTCTGCAATGCGACATGTGTGCCAGTACTGGATTCAGGAGTGACTCTGGCCCCATCTCAAAGTGCGCCCGGTTGTCGATGAGAAACTTCACAGTTGCTGGACCTACCGTCTGTGTACACAGGGCGAGGCCGAGAGGGTTCCAGTGTTGTACGGGCAAGGAAGGAAGGTGAAGGTCCTGGCTGGGGCAATGTATGAATCCGAATTTCTGGTTGACGCTTGCGCCGTGCTGGATGAGGCTCCTGAGAACCTTGACGCGATTATGTTCCGTCAAAAGGGAGCCCCCAAACGAGCTGTGAGTAAAGTAGTCGAGCGCTCCCTGCATTGGGGTAATCCCACACTCATCGCAAGTCAAGAGACTTGGACAGTCAACTCTGCGAGAGCAAGACTTACAGAGTATTTCTCCCAGTCCGGGTCCCGGTCTGGCAGCCCAGGCAGCATCTGCTCCTTTTGAAAGAAGCCATTCGACAGCTTCAGGATGCCCGCCGCGAATGGCAGTCAGCAATGGCGTCCTGGCGCTGCGTACGGGCTTTTTCTCATAGAAGAGCGTGCAGCATACGGAGTTGTTCGACCAAGCAGTGCCGCCTTCGAAGCGGCCACATCGACAGTAGCTGTTGGCATGATAGTCGTCGGCATCATCGTACACCCAGTTTAACGGTGCTCCGGCCAGGAAAGCGTCCTCCATCGTCCGGGTTAGGCCGTGGAAAGCGCCCCAACGAAGAGCGTACCAGTCATCTTGACCACTTTGGGTGTACAAGGTCGGCTGGAGCATGTCGTATAGCCTCGTGCATGATAGCGTCAGGTTTTTGAGGTCTCGAATGCCGTCTCGAAGATTTGTCCTGTGGAGTGTGTAGCCAAAAGGCAACCGCAGAAGCGACTTACTGGGAGGGCTGACGTAAGTGACGATTTGGAGAATAATCTCAACCGGGAGGTCTACCAAACCGGCACATGAATACTTCGTCGCACTTTGAGCAGTCGACATGGTGTACAACTGTATTGTCTAAGGTGTGGGTTTGGCAAAGAAGGTGTGTGTATTGATACTCGATACTGCCGTTGAACTTCCTGTTCACATCGGGAGTCGACCAAGTCAATAATCTTATATCCAGGACAGCATAGTTTCTCACTTGTACAATGCCTTTGTGAGAAATTGTTGCATTGTTTCCAGCATCTCAAAGACTGTTTTGTCGACCAAAGCATTGTTGGTCGGACAAAGACGTGTCTTGCATATTTTCCTTCAAGTCGGCTTATTGGAAATGACGGGACACCCTCGAGGTAACAGACGCCTGTTTGTTGCCTTGGATGACCCGAAGACGGTCCACCGTGGCTCAAAAGTCCTTTGATGATGTCGTCTCAGTCGTTTCAGCGTGAAGTACCCTCCTTGTGATGTGAGAGTTCGGGGTTCATGGTCTCGACAAGGTGATGGGGCCTCAGAAAGCCGGCTCAATCGGAGACCAGCCGAGAGATGTTCTGCAACAAGTTGGCAAGTCGCCAGGCAGTCACTGCGATTCTGATGTATCGTCTTAAGGTGATGGATTGTCCCGAACGCCGCATGGTGCTACCAGTCGTACACTTGAATATACACGTCTTTTAAAAAGTTACACGGCCCTTTGGCAACTCAGAAGTACTTTCCCGCTTCAAAGTCCTTCCACTGGTTTTGGATCGCTATACCAGCAAATGTCAGTAAAGACACCTCCAGAGAGGTCTCAATTTGGCAACTCACATCTCGTACAGGTGGGGCATAAGACGTGCTGCCTCTTAACCTGTCCGCATCCAGGGCACTTGCACAAAGACTTCACATCCTGCAGCGCCTTTCCAGCCATCTGCCTGTGCCTCTTCTTGGAGTGAGAGGTCTTCTTCTTCGGTACTGCCCGGAGTACGGACTCCCAGATGCCGCCGAGCCATGCGGGGATGTTGAGGTTGATTGCGGGGAGGGCGGCGAGCGTCGGGAACATGGGCTGGACGAGCTGGCGGGTGTAGAGAGAGAATATCCTTGCTGACCTGGAGAAGGCTGGCGCGGAGATCTGGGGAAGAATGCGCAGGGGCTGCGCGGTCATCGCAATGGCGGCCATTTCGATATCGTGCGGTTCGAATTCGTTTCGCAGGCGAAGGTGTTCGGAAATGGCAGTCGCTTCGGTGGCCTGTTGCAGAGAAGAACAACCAGATACTCGATGTTCGATCGTCCGCTCCAACGGGAAAGTACTGCTGAGCCTTGAGCGGCGGTCGGTGTTGTTGGTGTCGCGGCAGCAGGGCAGTAGCGAGCGCAATAGTGTCACCACTTCACGATCTGAGGCTTCGCTCCGTCGTCCAAGCCGGGAAAAAAAAGACGTGCGACCGGGGGAGCTGTCAATTGAGATTCCCCAACCAATCACAGCTCCCGCCACGCACGGACGCCTCTCAACCAATCAACGCGGCGAGGACCCCTTTCCCCCTTTCCCTCCAACCCCTGTAGACACTCCCTGCAGGGAAATTATTGTTTGCTGGAGGTGGAAGGAACAACCTATTAGCTGCAGCCAACGGCCAGTGCCTGACTGAGAGACACGGGGGGACGGGTAGCAAAGCACCTCCAAGTGCCAGCACAGAGAAATTACGCTACCCTTTTGCCCTTCACCGGCTTGTTCTCCTTCGAATCGTCCTGAGTCCTTCTCCAACCGCAACCTCGTGATCTCTTTCTTCCCTCTCCCTGCCCACTGCCATTCCGACCCTCGACTCGGCCCCCAATTCGAGACGAATACTTTTCTTGGAATACAGAAACGTATCTCAGCTTCACTCCTTACCTTTTCGTACCACTTTCGCTCCCCACGGGAAAAGCAGACACGATGGCGCAGCCCCAGACCATCTACCCTCAGTCCCACGTCGGTTTCGACAGCATCACGTCCCAGATCGAGAAGAAGCTGTTGAAGCGTGGCTTCCAGTTCAATGTCATCTGCGTCGGTGAGTTCCTCTGTGCAATTGTCCCCGCGCTGCCCTCTACCGATCGGTGGGCTGGCGTGCCTCGCGATGTCGCGTCCACCACAGGTGCAGTCGACTGACGCTCCACATTACAGGCCAGACAGGTTTGGGCAAGTCCACCCTGATCAACACCATCTTCGCCTCCCACCTCATCGACTCCAAGGGTCGCATGATGCCCGATGAGCCCGTCCGCTCCACCACCGAGATCCAGGCCGTGTCTCACATGATCGAGGAGAACGGCGTCCGTCTGCGCCTCAACATTGTCGACACCCCCGGTTACGGAGACCTGGTCAACAACGACCGCTGCTGGGACCCCATTGTCAAGTACATCAAGGATCAACACTCCGCGTACTTGCGCAAAGAGCTCACCGCCCAGCGTGAGCGCTACATCCAGGATACCCGCATCCACTGCTGCCTCTTCTTCATCCAGCCCTCAGGCCACTCCCTGAAGCCCATTGATATCGTCGTCCTGAAGAAGCTCTCCGATGTCGTCAACGTCGTTCCCGTTATTGCCAAGTCCGACACTCTCACCCTCGAGGAGCGCCAGGAGTTCAAGGAGCGCATCAAGGAGGAGTTCGCTTTCCACAACCTCAAGATGTACCCCTACGACAACGATGAGTTTGATGAGGAGGAGCGCGGTCTCAACACCCAGATCAAGGTGGGAAATCTTTCCAAAGACCCAGTATTCCGTTTGCTAACACACTTGTAGGACCTCGTCCCCTTTGCTGTTGTTGGCTCCGAAAAGTCCATCATCGTCAACGGCAAGCAGGTCCGTGGCCGCCAGAACCGCTGGGGTGTGATCAACGTCGAGGACGAGAACCACTGCGAGTTCACTTACCTGAGAAACTTCCTGCTCCGCACCCATCTCCAGGACCTCATTGAGACCACATCTCAGATCCACTACGAGACTTTCCGTGCCAAGCAGCTTCTGGCCTTGAAGGAGAGCAGCGCACACGGCGGTGGCAGCAGACCCATCAGCCCTGCCGCCGACCGGGAAATCAGCCGGAGCTCGCAACGAATGACCATGAACGGATACTAGTTGATGAACATCCCCACCCGCGCACTCGAGGAGCCAGCAGGCAGTGATATTCTTGGGCGGCCGGATTTTCTGACGACTTTTCAAACTCATGGTGTTATGCGCAGATAAAAGGCACGGCACGGCCCCGGCAGCAAGCGGAGGCTGCATCGACCGATAATTCTCAGGGAAGAGGCAGCAGCAGCTTTCTCCGCCGGAAGACATGGGAGAAGTTTGCATGTGTGGAATGAAGATGCCGGCGTTGCGCGCGGATATAGGTCATACCCCCTCTGGCCCTGTGGTCGTTGTTTAAGTACTTGTGCTGGCGAAATAGTCCATTATTCCCCCCTTTCCATCTTACAACTGGACGCAACTTTCTGTTTTCTTACTTCGACTTTTAGCAGCACTTTGCTCAACTTCACACTTTCTTACGTTTTAATCCAATCGTACTCTAATAGAGAGTTCGTTTCGATACCTCATGGAGAATACACCTGACATGGCTTATGATCCCTCAAGCAACGTGATTTGTGACCTCAAAATGGACCAGTACATATTGCCTATCTTGGCTCTATAAGAATGCTTTTAGTCTAAAATGCACACACAAAAGACCGCCATGCTATGTCGAAGAAGCCCATAGTTCTTCTTTCCTGAATTTCGTATTCAGTCCCAACGCCTCGGTATATACCCGTCCGATTCCGCTCCTAGCCCGGTTTGTAGTTTTGTAGTTTTCGCCCCTTTCAAGAAGACTTGTAAACAAAGTCCTCGAGCTGCTTGTAAGCCTTGTCGAGGTCGTCATTGATGATGGTGATGTCGTGAACGCCAGGCGTCTTGGCGAACTCGAGCTCGACCTTGGCCTGGGCCAGACGCTTCTGGATGCTCTCCTCTTTCTCGGTCCCGCGGCCGCGGAGGCGCTTCTCGAGCTCCTCCTCGGAGGGCGGGGCGATGAAGACGTAGCGCGCGGAGATGGAGCTGTTCTTGATCTGCTTGACGCCCTATGTGTGATACTCCTGTCAGCGTGGCCTCCCCAGGGGGGGCGAGCTGTGCTGTCTGCATACGTACCTCCATCTCAATGTCGAGCACGACGACCTTCCCCTTGGCGGACTGCTCCTCGATAGTGGCCTTGGAGGTGCCGTACGAGTTGCTGCCAAAGGTGGCGTGCTCGACGAAGCCGTCCTTGGAGACCAGGTCGGCAAAGGCCTCGCGGGTGACGAAGTGGTAGTCGACGCCGTCGGCCTCGCCCGGGCGCGGGGCGCGGGTGGTGTGCGAGACGGAGAGGGCGAAGGTGTCCGGGTGGCTCTCGAAGAGGCGCTTGTAGAGGGTCCCCTTACCGACGCCCGAGGGGCCGGAGATGACGAGGGGACGGCGGTCGGAGGGAAGGACTAGTGTTTTCGAGAGTGTTAGTCTTCTTTTCTCGTCTGTTTCCGCACCCGGTGCGGCGGTCAGGGAGGAGGGCGGCAGGGCTGTGGATTGCGATGGTGCACTCGACGTACCGGGAGCCATTGTGCCTATGTAATGTCTTCTCGAGAAGCTGGGAACGGGAGGTTGACGTGGGATTGCGCGGGCGACCGGTCGGAGGCGGGGCAGCATAGGGGAGACGGAGATGTAGGCGATGGAGGGGGAGGAGGCCTTGGAGTTTCGAAAGTCAGGTCCACGGATTCGGGGACGGAGGGGCGGTGCGGGCGGGCGGTCAGTCGCACAAAGAGCGGGAGTCACGTCGCCCATCCATCCCTTGGGGTCGAGTACCTGATACTACCCATTGGGAGGTACTGTACCCCCATCGCTGGTGGGGGTCTGACTCTAGCTTGGCCTTAACGCCGGCAGAAATTAGGTGCCGCTGAAGACTCGGGACGTTGAGTCAGCGGGCGGTGAGTGAAAGCCGTTGAGGGATGAACCCCTACGGTTAGTTGAGCGTGGTTGAGACTATCTTAGTTACGCATCTGATATTGAGAATAGTGTGGCTATTCAAGATGCAACCTACTCTAACTTGGTATCCTCCATGCACCAGGCCATGGAGAACAAAATGTCAAACCGCTTAAATGCCCGCCTCAAAGTCCACTAACGCTGTGGGACAGTAAGTAAGAGGTCTCTTCCCTTGGGAAAGTTGATATGCGCTTGCGGTGGGCTTAAAATGCAGTGAAGATATCGGGCTGAAGGTTTTCCCCATAAATCACCTCTCATTTTGCGAAAACTCAGCCTTACGGGATAGACAGGGTCTGCGCACATCGTCTACGACTGGCAACTCTACCGAGTTGTCTGCCGACTAATATGCAAATGCGGAATGGCTCGAGTTACTTCGCAGCTGTTGGCCCTGACACATTAAACTCACGTCACAGCAAGGGTAACAGCAGACAATGTTATCAATGACGCATTCGCATCTATTCAGGTTTATACACAAACCGCGGGGAATCTATGTCGCCAGAAAGAAACCAATTCATAACCTCCAAGCTGACTATTAAGCCAAGTACCAAATCCTGTACTCATGAAAACTTTACAAGAAAAGAAGAGCAAGAAGAGGGGCAGCCAAGGCCATGACCTCAGGACGCAAGGAAATTCCAGCGCTGGTAGCGCCGCCAGTAGAGGTTGGGGTGCTGGTAGCAGCGGCACCAGTGCCAGTGGCGGCCTGGGTTCCGCCGGCGGTGTTGGTACCGGGTGTGTTGGAGTCATCGCCAGACAGAGGGGAGACAGCGAGGTTGGTGAGCTCGGTGGTGCCGTCGGAGGCGTAGACCTTGTACTTGACGGACCAGTCAGAGATGGTGATGATCTTGCCGGAAGGCTTGGGGCTGATGCCGTTGTCGATCAGATCCTGACCGCCAGGGGGGACGGCAGGCAGGGTAAAGTTGTTGTTGAAGCCCTTCTCGGTGATCAGAGAAGAGTCGCACTTGGGAGCCTTGGGCGAGGAAGAGGAAGCCTTGGTAGCCTGGAGGGTCTTGAAGTCGACCTTCTTGTACTGAGTGGCCAGGTTGTCGTAGTCGACGAGAAGCTTGACAGACTTGTCGGCGTTGACCTTGACAATACCGTAGTTGTTGTCCTCCTGGCTGTACTCGTAGACGAGACCACCGGAGAAGACGGAGTTCATGTCAGAGCCGTAGATGGACTGAATCTCGGTGAAGACGCGAGGGGTAACCTTGTTGCAGCCAAACTCAGAGAAGAAGACGGGCACAGAGGTATCCTTCAGGTCGGCAACGAGCTGGTCATAGGTGGACGTCTTGAAGCTGGATTCACCGCACCAGGAGTAGGAGTTGAGACCGAAAAGGTCGGCCTTGCTGGGGTCGTTGGCGTCACCGTTCTCGGCGCAAGTCAGGTAGTTGAAGGAGTCGACGAGAATGGAGCGAACGTCAGCAGCGGAGTAACCGACGGGAATCTTGCGGTCGGAGTGCTTGGAGATGTAGTTCTTCAAGTCACGGGTGATGGCGCGCAGGTAAGGGGGGACATCCCTGGCGGTCTCAACGTTGTTCATAACCTCGTTGCCGGAGAAGAAGGCCAGGGTGTTGGGGTAGTTCTTGAAAGCCTCGACGATGGCGAAGGTGCGGTTCATGTAAGCGGCGTAGTAGCTGGTCCAGGGCTCGAAGCTGGAGATACTCTCGCCAACCAGGGGAGAGTTGACGTCGAGGACCATGTACATGCCAGCGGCGTTGAAGATGGAGGCGCAAGCATCGTGGTTCAGGTTGGGGTCCAAGTTGTAGACACGGATGGTGTTGGCACCAAGACGCTGGAGGAGGGCAGCATCGCGCATGCAGACATCAGCGTCGCTGAGGGGATCCTTGTTGTGCTTGGGATCGTAGCCAGCGCTGCCGCCAATCTGGTAGTCGAGACCAACGATCTGGAACTTCTCGCCGCCCTCGGTGACGAAGGCATTGCCCTTGACGGTGAGGGGCTTGACGGCAGCAGCCAGGGTCGCACTAAGTGCGATGAGAGCAGAGTGAACCTATGAAAGTCATGTTAGAGTTGGGCGTTCTGCAGGTCGACGTAGGGCGGGTTGGTGGAGGGGGGGTCGACGAGGAGGCGTTTGCAGGTTGCAAGATCCCATCAATGGGGTTGGTTGTGCACGACAGGCGTTGGCTGTGTCTTTTGCGCCCTGATCGTCGCCGCGATGGAGGGCTGCGACAAGAGACAAACTCCTCGGGTGCGCCAACCGAGCCAATGGAGAGGGAAAGGCGTCAGAGAGGTCGGATTTTTACTCACAAGCATGGTTGCAATATGCGCAGGGTTAATGCGACGTTGTTCTGTTGTTTGCTGAAGGGGATCGGGATATTAGACTCTGTCGTAGAAGTCGTATCGTACGGCGATATTCGTATAGTTCGCTAGTGCGAATCCAAGGAGTGACGTGAAGATGAAGGTGGGTTATTGGGGTAAGCCAAAGGCGAGAAGTGAGACACTTTTGTTGGCGTGGTGAGAGAGTGACAAGAAGAGAAGTATGGTGGTGAAAGCCGGGATAATCGGTGTTCTCGATCAGTATTCGCACCTTCCGTAAAGTAGGTAGGCGTGGTTTGGATACGAGAAGCAGGCAAGAGGCACAGGCACAGGCGCGACGCGGTCGGGCGAGTGACACTGTCTGTCAGCGAGTGGTATGAATTAAGGTAAGGTGTGAGAGAGACGGGAAGAAGAACCCAGGCAGGAGTAGGAGGGGGAGTTCGTAGAAAAAGAAGAGGAAGGGGAAACGGCGCCAACAAGAATAGGCCGAATCGTGACATGTAAATTAAAAATGGAAAAGGCAAGTGCAAGGCTCCTCCCCTCCTCCTGGGCTCCCGCCTGCTGGATACGATGCTCACTGGATTTGTCTCATCTCGGCTTAGCGTCACACACATCATCTCCAGTCCGTGGTTTGTGCCTTCCCTAACAGATTGGATACATCCGACTACCACGGCGAATCAACCTTCTTCTCGACGTCGGGCCCTGTGCGGCGGCGACTTTTTCTTTCTTTCCCTCACCGCACCGAGCACTTGCCGCCCTCATCAGCCCAGTCGTCTCAACTCTTGAAAGCCAGCTATTGGCCGCCGCTGCACCGCCGCCCCTTTGGACAGCCGGTGCCAAGAGAAAGTCGAATTGGTTTCCAGCTCGCAGCTACTTTCCTCCAAACCCCCTCTACCTAGTACCATAGCACCACCTCACGTCGGTCCTTCCCCTGCTGCCGACCCTTCCTGGCCTTGGATCTATCCGTAGCCAGGTTCGCCGTCGCTCCCGGAGCGCGTCACCACTGCCTCGAAGTCTCTTTACCTTTTTTGCCGGATGCCGCTCCGTTTCCTCAACTCCAGCGCTGCCCCTCCTTCGCAAACAGAGACCTCCTTCGCGAACGACACAGACACAGACACAGCCTCCCGGGATCTCGATTTCTGACGCAAGGCCCTTTGAGGGTTTGAGGGGATACCGGCCTACAGGGTTGAGGCTTGGGGCCCGTAGCACAAATTGGATGTGGCTGGGCTCAAAGGGTAGAAGACCGGAGGGGCCTCTTGGCTTTCCCACTGCATTATCCCGCTACTTTCGCTTCTCGCTTCGCTGTTGCTTCTTTTCGCGCACCGTCACAGGCAGAGAGAAACGGGAAAGGGGACTTTTGCCTGACAGTATGGGATGGCTCGGGCAACGGCCTGCCCCGCGCTGGCTTCTCACATCTCTCTGACTTGAGGGTGATGGGTGCTGACTAGTCGTCCTGCAGGTCCTTCAAAGCTTGGCTACATGTCTAATTACCTCACCCCGGTCCGACTAATCTCTCTCGCCGCCGTTCTCCATTGTGGCCCCTCGTTTATCTGCAGGTCTAGCATGCAGGCCCGTTTCCCCTAGCCTTGTGCCTTAATCCTCTGAACGGACGACATTCTCTTTTCAAGGTCTGTCCGTTGGTTGGTTCTGTTTTGTTTGTCTGTTTTTGAAAACTGATTTCTTTTTTACGCCCTCAGAGTCCAAGCCGTTGAATGATCTCTCTGGTCGCAGCAAGACGTCACAGCCAACAGAAGAATTACCCCTTTCTCCTTGCGAAACACCTTGAGACACTATAGACAAGCTTTACAGGACAATGCGCCAGGCTAGCGAGACCGGGGTGCGAGTGAACAAGTCGGAGTGATTGACGGCACAGACGAACGACACAACCGCAGTCGCAAAGTCTCCAGCCCACCAACGCTGCCCATGCCGACCGCAGCGCACAAAAAATCCGATAATCTCACCTCGAAATGGTGTCATGTCCCTCCCTATAGCCAGGGTCCGCCTGCGAAGACCCTCTTTGTCAACTCGTCCTGGGCCATGCCCCTCGGGCAACCCGCTGTCTTCGCAACTCTCTTCCAAGATAGTTTGGACTCTGAGCCAAAAGACTGTTGCTGGGCTCGTTGCTGAGTCCAGCCCTTTGTTCTTGCACTTTGAACCACGTGAACCACCCTCAACCGGCCTAACTGGCTTTCGGGCTGATTTAAGTGGAGATGATTAAGCCTCCGAAGTCGATGATGCCCAGAAAGCGGTATGGTCGACTTCACAAGCTCGAGGAAGCCACGCCGGTTGCTGGACCGAGCCGCAAAGAGAACACAAATCCAGGGCGCAAATCAAACGCCGCCGATGGTCTTCAACCCCTTCTCAGCTCACCGTGCTGTCAGGTACTAGCGCAAGCCTTGAGCCACTGATGGTCTGGAAAACGCGGAAGACTTGAGTCTATACATAAGGTTAGAATCACACACCCCATGTGAGTCCAAAGGTCCGTGCGTGGGGCAGCGCAGAGGTTAAGTCCAAAACTAGTAGATCTCGCTTAAATAGCTAATTAAAAAAATTAGCTCTAGTACTTAGCTAGAAATATTTAGAAAATCCTCCCTAAACTAACTAGAAATAATCTAAGATTAGCTATTATACTTATTAGTTAAATCCTAGAAATAATCTACTTTTATAATATATCTCCTATTTAGTATTTCCCCTATTATTACTATAAATCTTTATAAAATAACTAACTTTAATACTTAATATAACTCTTATAATATTAGAAATATTTCTTAACTATTTCTTATTATAATACCTTCTACCTACTAAAATTCTAAGTAATTTTAGTAGTATATTAATAGTATAAATAGTAAGTACTAATTATACTTTCTAGCTTTTAAGACTAATCTTATAAGTACCTATTAATAAAATATTATATCTCTTATAAGAAATATTTCTAATATATTTAAACTAATAATTTAAATAGTAAAGTTAAATTATTATTATTACTAGAAAGCTATTCTATTATTACTATAACCTTAATACTAAAGGTCTCTACTATATTATATAAAATAATTCCCTTATATTTAGTATTTTTATCTAATAATTTTTAGAAGTATAAATAATCTTCTCTTAGTACTCTTAAGAAGTATATTACTAATAATTATAAGATTAAAGTTACCCCTTCCTATAGTAGTACCCTAAAAGGTACTACTAATTATAAAATAAATAATATATCTTTCCTAAATTATTTCTACTTTAATTATATACTAACTTTAGTAATTTTAGACTTCTATTATAATATAAAACTACTTATAACTAATATTAATACTCTACTAAATACCCCCTATAAGATAAAAGCTATTATTAAGGATTATTATATCCTTAATATCCCTACTCTAAGGAATAATATAATAAGTAGAAATATTTCTAAATTATTTCCTTAATATATTACTAATAGTTTATAGCTAAACTTTATTACTATAAAAGCTAATATTAGTATTAAGATAGATAGGTAGTACTATAGTTACTTATTATAGAATAATAAGGGATAAAGTAAATCTAATAGTATCCTTAGCTAATATTTTACTAACTTACAATTTATAGTCTACCCCCCCCTTAAGGGATTTAATCTTATATATAAAGTTTAGTATACTTATTACTACCCTAACCTTAGTGAGGATAAAGAGATTTTAAGTAAGTATTAGATTTATTTCTTAATTATTTCTTATACTAATATATTTTATCTATAGATATATTTATAACTTCTTCCTACCCTTTCTATAGTTACTATATTACCTAAGCCTATATAGCTACACTTTAAATAAGATATATTAGAATAGAATTAGCTAGTTAATACTTTAAAAACTAGAGGTATTTATAAATTAATTTAATAATTATTTCACTTTATATATATATATACTTATATACTTATAAT